CTATGGAATAAGTGCCTAAAGCCCAATTATGTTATTTTCAAAGCAAAGTTAAGTAGAATCGGGTCAGTTTAAAGTTGCAAACAGTTTTCGGCAGGCAATAGCTCTGAGTTTTGCCTGATATTTCAATGTTACCCCCAGTACATAGTAGCCTGTCATCTCTCTATAATGTCTTAGAGTACATGCGAAGAATATGAGGATGATTATTCCTAGAAAAGTGCTTTTTTCACCAAATGAGATTACCGACAAAGAACATGCACGCGTGAGAGAATCATGAGTGACATTTCTCTGATCTTGAACGATTTATAGTCGCTCCGTTGGGATTTGTGTGCAATTATATACGTGTATAATTTTGAGTACATTGCTATAAAACACAGAGCAATTGTATATCAGTTTCTTATATAAAGAATAATTGCTCAAAAAATTGTGCTGGCGGCCCAACTCACCTGACTTTTCCGTAAGAGCTTTCTTGCAAATCGAATAGTTGTCTCCTTCAATAATGGTCTTTAATTTGACCGTTTCCAAATTGATTTCTCTCTTTATTTCACCAGTAACTAAAAACTTCTCTGCAGCTTCATTTAGGACACCAGAACTGTAGTCTTTCCAAAGACGTTCGAGACTCTGCAGGTCGGGGCACTGACCTTCTATTACCAAAGATCCAATACCCACAGATGCTAAGGAAAAGTTGTAACTATCTTCTAAATGCTTAATGAAATCAATCAGTCCATTGGCTGTAGAAAGCTTGCTTCTTTTATTGTATTTCAAGTACGCTTCAAGTTGTTGTCTTAACAGTCGATCCACGACGACCTCCAATTCACTACTTAAATCATGTGGGGGGATTGACATCTTTACAGTGCTTGCTGTTTCTGAAAATTATTGATAGAAAGCATAATTCAAACTCAGATTACTGCTTCTTATAAAGGAAACAGGCTTCTAAACTCGTTGTAGTGTGGTAATGCTGTTATACGAAAAGAACATTTTTTTAGCTATAGCAGAATTACAAAAAAAACATATATATACATATATCAATACTAAGCAGGAGCCCATAACGTTACAGTACTTTTTTAAAATAATCAATAATAAAAAAGAGTTTATTAAAACACGTAAAAAAAATTAGCTCCTCGTCAATGTAATTCCATACCTTGGACAGAAGTGAACCCTGAAACGCTAGGAGTATGGCAAACTGGGGGAGATTCTTTACTTAATCTGGCTGCATCCTCAGTTTTAGTGTCTTCATCAACTGAGCATTGGTCTCCTGAGAATCCAGAAGCTGAATGAGCGTGTGTTTTTGCAACAGGCTGCTTTTCAGTGACCGGACTACCCTCTGGCATATCATCAGCATCTGGTGTGAGAACAAGCTCTTAGGGTTAGTGTCATCCCTAACCCTAACCTAACCCTAACCCTAACCCTAAAACAGCATTCTTTAAAAAAAGATAGACCCCGACCCCGCATATTACTGACACCCACTTTTTAAAAGTACTACTATAAACCCCCAAATTTTTCAAACCCAGAATTTTTAGACAAACTCGAAAGAACTCTACACAATGTTTTTCTCTCCAAGAAAAAATGCATTTTCATGGGTGATACTAATATAAATACTCTTACAAAAACAAGTGTCTCTAAGGAATATGTTAATTTAATACAATCAGAAGGATTCAGTCAGCTGATCTTTGAGGCAACACGTATTACCGAAAATTCACAAAGCTGCTGCGACTTCCTGCTCAAGTGGCAGCCTCGCAGTTGAGAATGCGGATCATCTACCAGTCTTAACTATTTTGTATGACCCGAAATTTAGTCCCTTTCCTGATTATTTCGAAATCAGAGACTTTCGGAGTTTTGAAGATGAAAATTTCAAATTAGATCTACGAAGAGAGAGCTGGGATTCTATTTACAAATGCAATAGTAGTATAGGAGGGACCGGTTACTCCTCTTTTTTGGGGGGGAATCTCATTAAGGTGGGGGGGAATAAATTAACGTCGCTGACGTCATAGGCTATTGTCTTGATCTCATGAATAAAATGCGCAGGAATCTCATTAAGATAAGGTCGTGTGCTATTTTAAATTGGTTTAGGTTTTCTAGTTACTTTAAGGTCGATAAACGTCTTCGTTTTCTATTGGTTAGTTAGAAAATAAGAAAAGTTTTCATTGGTTAATTCATAGTGCCTGAGGAGTAAAGTCAAACTTGTCTCTGACTTAAAATCACTGAGACGTAACGTAATTATGCAAGTTCTATTTCCTGCTGCTGCGATTGTCCTGGTTCCGGTTCACTGATTTTTAGCAGGTAAATCGTGCATATTAATGAGGGCAAAGGCCAACTAGCTCTTTTTTACACTGCAAACAATGTTTTACTCACCCCTCTCCTTTTCATTTTTTTTTACTTTCCTCCTCCTCCTCCACAATTTTATTATTTTCGTTCCTCAATTCCCTCCTCCTCCTCCTCCTCCTCCTCCTCCTCATTTTTATTGTTTTCCCTCCTCCTCCTCCTCATTTTTTTATTGTTTTCCCTCCTCCTCCTCCTCCACCTCCTCCACCTCCTCCTCCACCTCCACCTCCTCCTCCTCATTTTCATTGTTTTCTCTCCTCCTCCTCCTCCTCCTCCGCCTCCTCATTTTGATTGCTTCCCCCCTCCTCCACCTCCTCCTCATTTCTATTGTTTTACCTCCACCACCACCACCACCACCGCCACCACATTTCTATTGTTTTCCCTCCACCACCACCACCACCACCGCCACCACAATTTCATTGTTTCCCTCAAAAGGCCAAAGAGGCCAAAATCAGGCCTAAAAGGCCAAACTCAAGGAGGGAACCAATAAAAATGTGGTGGTGGTGGTGGTGGTGGAGGGAAAACAATAGAAATGTGGTGGCGGTGGTGGTGGTGGTGGTGGAGGTAAAACAATAGAAATGAGGAGGAGGTGGAGGAGGGG